GGGGGGGGGGGGGGGGGGGCGCGGGCAGAAAAGCGCGGGGATCCTCCCCACTCACACACACACACACACACACACGGGCCCGTTCTCCCCGCCCCCAGGGTATGGAGAGTCCGAGCGACCGAGCACCCACGCAAGAGGCAACACATTTCGAGATTTTTCCCTGGCCTTCAGGTTGTGTCCCGGAGAGAGAGGCCGGGCAAGCGCCGAGATAAGAGTGCCGGTGCATCCCGGCGCGATTGCTTGGCCTGGCGGCGCCCGGGGCTCGCCGGGCCGGTGAGTCGCGGGCGTTCTCGAGGCGAACACACATCCGGGGGGGTGGAGAAGAGAGTCACAAAATGGAAGACCCCGCGAAAGGGGGAACGAGCGCGAGCGACATCTCCCCGGCGCATGCTCAAGCCCGGGGGCTTCCGCGGGAAAGGGGATCTTTTTTTATAACACCCAATATCAAACCAACCTCGAGTTTCGGCCCTTTCCTCGCCGTCCTCTCGCCTTTGAGAGACATGCCAGCGGCCCGACGCGGCCGCCCAGTCATGGCCAGGCAGCCCCCGCCCTCCAGCTGACGAGGCTGCTGAGAGAGGCCTTCTCCGCTGGCTGGAGGGGCCGCACCGCTTCACGCTCCTCCAACATCCCTGACCTCTCGGGCCCGGCCGAATGGGCCGAAAAATCTGTGCTCTTGCGCGCGCGCGCGCGCGCGCGCGCGCGCGCGGGGGCAAACGCCCACAGCCGGTATGCCCTGAAATGGGCCTGGCGCTCACTCGGAAGGGGCGCGCGGGGGCCGGGGGGGCGGGGGAGGCAATATGTCACCCCCACCAGGGCCGGGACACCATCCGAGGGCATGGACGGGGGCCGGTTTGTCTGCATGAGTGCACGCGCAAGGGCGGGGCGACCCAGGCTGACCACCCTCTGTCGGGGCCCGGGAGGGGCGGCAGCACCTCTCAACAGGATAAATAAAATAACGCCGTGCAGCCGCGCCGGGGTGCTGGAGGGGGGAGGGGGGGGGGGTCATGCTCGAGCACAGGATGGGCTCGAGGTGAATTAACATTCCCTCCGGACCTGGCCGCCGGGAGCCGAAGGCACGCGCGTGTGCGCACTAACAGGCATTGGGCCCCCCACTTCGTCAATGGGTCGGGGGTGCCCGGCAGGGCATCATCCCGGCTCGGCGCCACCCGCGCCCGGTTTCTCCCTCAATGTCCGCAAGACCCTTTGAGGTGCGAAAAGTGGCTCAGTCCCGTCGGCGGGGGGGGGGGGGGGGCCACAGCGAAGGTCCTGAAGGGGTCCCTCCTGCAGCACCGATCGGTCCCCCCGGGATCTGCGCGCCCCGGTCAGCGAACACAAACCGCGGTGCAGGCCCGGCGTTCAGAAGGGAGGGAGCCGCCAGGCACCCGCACTCCCGCCCCCCGGGGGCGGGGGGGGGGGGGGGGGGAACAGGGAAAGGGGCAGGTGTGAGGGGCGGTCCCGAGCTGTCCCTGGGGTTAGCTGAGCCCTACTCTTCGGCCGAGGTACAATAATGGCATTCGCATATCAGATGTCTTTCGAAATCACACCGATCAATGCGCTGGCTTGTTGACAGTTTGGCAACCGATCTTTAGTCGGCGATTGCACCAAGCTCGTTCTGGTGACCTGGGCCCGTAGGAAGGCGGATCAAGGTTGGTCCCCCCTGGCGCTCTGGTCCACGTCCCCCCCCCCCCCCTCCCCCCTTCCGCCTCGCACCCCGCACTACTGGCCCTTCTGTTGTTGGCGTAGTGGTGTCTGCCCGAGAACACCGGGGGGAGAGGGAGGGGAGAACAATCTTGTTCAGCATGGGGCTGCCCTTGTTGTCGGCCGGGAGCTAGTGGGACGGGCCTCCGGCTTGCCCCTCTCTCTCTCTCTCTCTCTCTCATACCTGCCGCTCCGATCAGAGCTCCGTGGAGGGTTGTTTTTTTTCTCTGACGATCGTCGCCTGAAAGACCCTGGGGAATCCCCTGTCATGGGGCCGCCCCACTTGAGCAGGATGGCTCGTTGGGAATCTTTTTCGGTCGGATCTCCATCTCCTTGCAGACTCCCTGACTTCCAGCGCTCTTCCTTACCTTCCCTTCTTGCCCCCCCCCCCCTCCCCCTCCCCTCGCCTCTCCCTCCACTGGGCACCCGCTGATCTGCCCCCCTCCCCTTTCCCCTCCCCTGGATCGCTCGCTCTCTCTCCCTCTCTCGCCTCCCCCTCTCTCGCCTCCCCTCTGCCCGCCCTCTCCAACCATGCCCCGGCACGGCGATGACGGTGATGCCTCCCCAGCGCCGGGCACTCCTGTCACCACCGATGCCTCGGCAGCCACCGGCGGCGGCTGGTGGTACAGTGCCCTGTCGAAGGCGGCCGAGGTTGCCGCATCCGCCGCGTCCCAGGCCTCAGCGGCGGCCCAGAGTGCCGCACTAACCATCTCCCAGCTGGATGCCGCGGCGCTGGATGGATGGACCGAAAGTGAGTTCCCCGACCCCCTCCCCTCCGGCGGGATGACCGAGCACGAAGATGTCACCATCCTCGCCAGCAGTCCGATCGCGCCCATGAACGACATGTCCACCGAAGGGTCGGATTTGTCGGGCGACCCGGATCATGTCGACACCTCCGGTGGTTTCGGCGACCTGGGTCTCGGGCTTCTATCTTCGGCTACCCTGCTCGCCGGGCGCGCACGTACAGGCCTCTCTTTCATGGCCGCATCCCTCCTTGCAGATGAGGACGAGGATGCCGACCAGGCCCCGGCCCACCACCCGCACCCACCGCAGCAACAGCCACAACAACCGCCGGCATTCGAGCAAACCGCCGAGCCAGATGTTGACCCAGCCGACATGCGGGCCGCCGTTTCCGATGCCGCCGCCGCCATGGCGCCTCCACCCCTGGACACGGATTACACCATGCTCATGGATGCCGGCTTTTCCGGCGGTGTGTTCCTCTCACAGTCCAGCCTCCGACCAGATGGCCAGGATCCCATTGAGCTGGCTGTCACCGAGGCGGCCGACGTCTTCCGAGCCTGGTACGGAAACACGCTGGAGCGCCTGGCCAATGATCCCCGCTCGCAGGTCCTCCTCGAACGCATCAACCAGGCCGGACGCCAGGTGTTTGCCGGCCCCGCCGGAGCTGGCGCTCCTGGGTCCTCGTCCGGCAGTGCGGCGGCGGTGGCCGCGGCGGCGGTGGCCGCCGCGCGCGCACCTCCATCCGACGAATTGCTGGCCCTACTCGATGCAGCGGACGATGCTTCGGTGGATCGAATCTTCCGGACTCCGGCGCAACTCCTCCGCGACCCGGTTTTCGCGGCGATTGCCCCCCCACCGGACAGTGGTCTGGAGCCCATCACCGCGGAGATGGCTGCCGCCGGCTTCGGGCGGCTCAAATTCATCCTGGCCTACGCCTTTCCCCCCGGCGCCGCGGGAAGTGGCGCTGCGCCCAGCACGGCCGAGACTCTCTCCGCGCCTGGGGCCTCCCTGGCGGCGCTCGATTCCGCCGACCTTTGTCCGCATGATTTGGTCTTCCTCCGCCATCTGGCCCGGCTGCGAGTTCGCCGAGCCGATCTGGATGCCCTCTTCCGCCGTCTGGTCCCGGCTGTGGTGAAGGACGAGCTGGTTTGGTGGGCACGCGTTTGGTGGCTCCTGTTGGCTGGTCGTCTTCAATCGCCCGAAATCCTGGCCCTCCCGGGGGACGAGCTCCGCCGCTTCAACATCCTCGGCACGTCGCTCTTCCACCCGACTCCCGGCGGGGTGGAGGATTGCGCCCCGCACGATGGCGCGGGCGTCCTCCCGCACCAGGAGCCCTCCTCGGTGGCGACGGATCCCGCCCCGACGGGTGGGGATTTCTTCGCCGGCATTGCTGCCTCGGATGCCCCTCTCGCCCGGCTCGGGTCTTCCATCGGCAACATCCTGTCCAGCGGCGAGGCCCGACAGAGTCTCTTCAACAATGCCTCCACCGCCCTGAGTAACTCTCTGGCTTCTTCCATTTCCTCCTTCTCCGGGTTCGCCTCGTCGCTGGGAGCCGCCCTGCCGGCCGCCGCGGCCAGCGCCTTCATCATGGACGACCAGGAGGATGCCGGCTCGAGCCCGCAGATGGAGGCAATCATGGATCCCATGATGGCCCGCATTCCAGCCGGCGGCGATGCCGGCCCGAGCCAGCCCCTGTCGGAGGCGCTTTCCGACGGCGAGTCGCCTCCCAGTGTCCCTCTTGATTTGCATCCGGAGATGACCGCCCAGGACCTGACACCCACTTTGCGGCCGGTCCCGGCGTCGTCCTTGCAGCCGATCGACACGCAGCTGGCCGCCGCGGTTCCCGCCCTGAACATGGCCACCGCCACGGCCACCGCCACGGCCACCGCCTCGCCCGCCACCACGCCCGCGGTGCTGTCGGCTTCCACAATCGCAGCCAGCCCTGGCGCGGGAGCCCCCTCGGCCATGGACAGTCCGGCCGGCACCAATGCCCAGGTTGCCACACCGACCCTGGTCCAGTCCCAAGCCGAGCTCGGTCCCTCCCCATCGGCCGGGGCGACCAGCACCCCGGCGGCGCCCAGCTCGCCGGCCTCCTCGGCCGAGTCTTCTCCCCATGGAGGGAACCTCTCATCGTCTCCGCACCTGATCCACTCGGCGGATTCGGCCTTCCGGCAGCCGGCCGGCGGCAGCGCGGAGTCGGCTCCTCCGCGCTCGGCCTCCACCTCGGGCACTGACCTGGATGTGGATCTCGGGTCGGACCTTGGGTCGGACCTTGGGTCGGATCTCGGGTCGGATCTCGGGTCGGATCTCGGGTCGGACCTCGACCTGGATCTGGATTCCGATGGGGACCTGCTGACAGGGGATCCGAGTTCCATGTCGACCTTCTCCTCGCTGAGCTCTACCACCGGCAGCGGGGCCGAGTCCTCCTTCGTGGAACTGGTTCGGGATGGATCATTCAACTCCGCCGCTGGAGCTGGCACCCAGTCGACTTCCTCTCCTGCCGACCCTTGACAGATGGGCCATTTGTCCCGGAGTGCCCCAACATGTAAATGTATATGTATGTATGTATGTATGTGTGTGTGTGTGTGTTCGAATTCACTCCCAGCCCCCTCTCTTTAGCTCTGCCTTCCCAACCCTGCCGCCCAGGTTGACTGAAAAATACATCGATCCCCATGGGAATGTCTTCCACCGAGTGGGAAGAAGAGTGTGTATTTCCCATCTCCGGAGATAAAAGATGGAGGGAGGGAGAGGTGGATGAAAAGCGGGGAGGGGGGAGGCCAGGAGGCGGCCCCTCTTTTCTTTACATAGCAACAATCCCCGACAGGTTCGAGTCCGGAAAGGCCGGGAGGTACTCCACCTCGCGAGCGACCACCGGAAGGCGATCAGCAATGGCGTCTAGGTCAATGAGGGCCTGGATGTCCAGCGGCCGGGAGCCGGCAACCACGGCATTGGCCGCGCTGGCCGTCTGCCCGCTGCCAATGAGCAGGTTGTCGTCGAAGAGCGCCGACCATGAGGCCTCACGGATGACAGTCTCGCGGAGGACCCCGCGCGCCGGGTCATCGGTGGCCATGTGGATGCGGGTGTCGAAAACCCGCGCACGAACCCCATCGATGCGCACCGCACACCGGGCCAGGATGAAGAGCCCGTCCGGCATGGCACGCGCGCGAATGCCGAAGCGCACATGCCCATTGTCATGGAGCTCATCATCATAAAGATGCAGCCACTGGGGGCCGGTGTGGAAAAGCAGGGGATCCGGCCGGGAAAGCCGTGCGACATCCAACTCCCGGGCTTCGGTGGCGAAGGGGGAGGACGCGCGCGAGGAGCTCGACCAGCAAGGGTCAGCCAGGCATGCGGTGGCCGCCTCGGCCAGGGTGCTCGGCACCGGGCGCATGCGCTCGGCGAACGGCCCCGGCAGGACCAGCGTCCCCCGATAGCGCGAGGCGTACGTCCAGTCGTGCTGCGGGACCTCGGTCAGCCAGCTGCCAGGGGCTCCGGGATCGGTGGTGGTCCCCGGGGTGGTGGCCGACACTGAGGCCGACTGGGCCGCCGGATCCTCGGCCACCAGGGCCGGGGACACATCCTCCGGCGTGGACTCCGCCGTTTCGGAGGTGGTGTTCCCCTGGAAGAGGGCCTCCCGGGCGCTGGCCCACTGCGAGGCGTAGGCCACCTTCTCGACCTCCTCGTAGTTGGCTCCATCGGCGTGGGTCTTGGCCGCTTCCAGGGCCAGGTGGTTGGGCACATGGCGCAGGGCGTCGATCGCGCGGAAGGCCAGAGAAAAGCCGCCCGTGGTGGAGATGCAAATGGAATTGTTGGGGAAGACCATCTCCGGCAGCGGGAGGTCGAGCTCCTCAGTGAGGCTAGCAATGAGCGGGACAAATAATTAGAAGGTGCAAATGCGGCGTGCGTATACATATATACATGTGTGTGTGTGTGTGTGGGGGGGGGAGGGGGGATAAGGCAAGCAAGTGAAGAGACACATGGGAGGCGAGCGCGCACCGGTCAACCTCCTGCGAACACATCATCGGTCCGCGGTTGAGGGTAATCGTCCACTCGTCATTCAGGTTGAAGACCACTTCCGGGGCGGTGGGCACCGTGCCAGGGATGGGGCCAGAGGTTGTCATACTGATATGAAAGGAGCAAGAGACGAGGTGGGGGAGGGG